CTTGAATAAATACATTTAATGTATTTGCGATACAAAAACATGAGTTTTGAGTAAAGGAACATATATGGGCGACATAGTGTAAATATTGGGTTTTTGAACAATTTTTTTTTCATTTTTTCTTTCTTGGTATGTTCCCATGAAAACAGCATGTTTAATTTTGTAAATACCTTTAACCGAGACTGGGCAAAGACCGTAGAGTTTCTGGACTTTTGGGTTTCCAGAATTAAAATGGGACGTGTTTATTATATATCACAACACACAGCGGAAGATAAAATGTTCAAATATATATACACTCTTAAAATAAAAGAAACGCACACGTAGATTTTTAGTAAATTTATTGTACCTTATCAAGTCGATATATTTCATTTAATATCATAGATACAAATATGAAATTTTTGAGCTCGATAGTCACATGCTGTCGTTGTACAAAGGCACTGAAAACTGTTCATTGTCATGTCACATAAGGCCACAAGGTTACGTTGAACTCACGGCTCTGCATCTCCTCGGCACTGACTGGGTAAGTGTAGGAATGTGTCCTGTGGAATTCAGCTTGTAACGCGTTGGCCAGTTGTGGGAGTGTCTGCGGCGTATTCTGACGTTGACGTTCAAGTCGATCAAGTTCATCCCAGAGGTGTTCGATTAGGTTGAGATCTGGAGATCTCGACGGCCAGGGCAGACGTAGGTGTTGACATTATGAAGGTAGTCTACGGTGACACGAGCTGTGTGCGATGGAGAGTTGTCCTGTTGAAACAGCTCCCTCTGGCGGTCAATGATTGGAAGAAGGTGAGGTTGAAGAATTTGATTCATGTAGTGATTTGCTGTCATATTTGCCTGAACCACAACCAAGTCAGATCTCGTGGTGTAGGATATGGCCCCCCACACCATGACACTTTGTCGAATTCACGTACACACTTTGGGACTAAAAGCTCATTTAAACGACGATAAACACGTTGTCTTCCATCTCGCCGGTGAAGAAGAAATCGTGATTCATCGCTACACCACACTCGTCTCCAGTTTCTCAAATTACATGGCTGTTAGGTATGGCACCAACGCAAGCGTCGCTGTCGATGGATCGGTTGCAAAACAGGGATGATAACTGGTCTTCTGGGTCGGATTCCAGCCCCGGACAGTCTTGTCCGATATCCTCCTCAAACCAGGGATACGTCCTGCAGTCTCCGTAGCTGTGGCATTGCAATGGAACAGGTGGAACAGTCGAATGTCGCGAGCCTGTGCAGGGGTGGTAACTCTTGGTCGGCAGGTTTTAGGACGGTCTGCAGTGGAATTGAACTGTGTGTATCTGTCCCAGGGGCGGCATAATGGTGCTGTGGTGGACGTTGAAGTGGCGTGCAACAGAAGACTGCGATTTTCCTCTTTGGATTCGTCCTATGGCGATGTTCCGATCGGCAGCGATGAGTCTCGGCATTTTCGAACTTGAAAAATGTTAACAATTGAATGACAAATTATTGGCTTATGCTTGCCTTTTTATAGCCACTACCACGAGTTAGAAATACCATAACGTGCACGTGCATTTTGCTTTACTGTTTTTCTCCATGACATTTTTGAACAAGTGGGAAAACGTTTGTCGAATATCAGGCCATCAACATTTTCCAATAACATATATCCAATTTATAATCCGGATTTTTTGTGTAGTCAGGTTCAATGAACTACATACTACCTGTGCGTTTCTATTTTTTGAAGAGTGTAACTGTAACTATTTTAAAGGCGTTCAAGGCGTCAGAGTAAAATATGCATGGAGAGATTCTATAAGTCTAATATCTGTTCCAGATTGTTTTAATATTAATATTTTAACACGGTTTTAATATCATAACCTTTTATATAAAAGAAATACTTCTAATGTCCGTATACCTTTACATTGGAATAAATAATGAAGATTATCTACGTAAAAGTGACCACAACGACACTTAGGGCCAGTAAAAACAAAACGGTCAAACGTATGTCCATTCAGGTCACTGCAATCGAGTATAATTCGACAGTGTTTTCTTTCTAGTACCTTAACATTGAAATAAAGGATGTATATTGCTAATATTATGTTTTTCCTCATTCTTTTCAAATTGAATTAAAGATTCAGTGCATCTTGAGGTGGCATCTAATATATTCCAATCATGTACTGATGATTGCAAAAATGATTATAGAGCCTGACCACCGATCCCGTTAGTCGCCTTTTACGACAAGCATAGTCACCTTTTACGGCAAGCATGGGTTGCTGAAGACCAATTCTACCCCGGAATCTTCACGGGTCTGGAGTATGTGGTAGGATCGTGATACATACATGGAAGTTGCAGAAATGTTCAAAGGAATTAAACTTGAAAAGTATTCGGGCGTTTTATAACAGAACATTTTGTGAAATACACCCATTTTGTGGTTTTGGCCGTTTCATTATAAAGTTTACCCTGGCTCACTCCTCTAACAGATCCACATATGGTTCTTAATTGTAGTTTTTCTAATAGCAGTTCTTGGCCCTCAGTAGGGGCGGTCATTCGGTCAACGTTGAAATAAAGGTAAAAATAATAATACTATGATGTTACGAAAGACGTCATATGAAAAGAAAGAACAATGGGTACTGAAGAACATCAGTGTGCACGAAAGGACGCTAAGTGAGTGAGTGAGTATGGTTTTAAGCCGCTTTTAGCAATATTCCAGCAATATCACGGCGGGCTTCACACATTGTACTCATGTCGGGAATAAACCCCGGGTCTTCGGCGTGACGAGCGAACGCTTTCACCACTAGGCTACCCGACCGCACGAAAGGACGCTAAACCGCTAAAGGTCAATGTTGACAACAGAGAACGCCAGATGGCGCTGCAATTTGTAAAACATTCCGAGTTTAATCGGCTCGTTCCGCTGTGTATATGATAACTGCATGCCGAGATGCACGTCATTTTCATGCTGCCTAATATCTGAAGGATAACATGAATACCCCACTCAGACACAGTATACTGACTCCGTGCCGACCAGTTCTTGTTTTAGCCCCTTAATGCCGAGCTCCAGACAGGGTACAACAAGAACCATCTTTAAACGTCTTTTGGTATGACGCGGTCGGGGACCGAACACCGGACCTTCCGCTCTCCGGACGGACACTCTACCACTAGACCACGGAGGCGGTCCAAACATAACTCGGCATCATAACACCCTCGTGTTGCACCAAGTATGACAAAGGGTCATCTATAGCGACGTATAAAGAATTATCAGCAGCCAATAATTTGAGACTACTTTGTATGTCTTAAACTTTTTCATGAATATAGAACTAAGAACATAAGTAACATATATATATATCAGCGGAAGTGATATTGATATAAGCATTGTTGCTTGTTTATCAATCCCCATTTCGTGCCTAATATTTGAAAAACATTTCGACGTGAACTGATCGTGAGTGACATCTTCTATATGGTGACCAGATTAACAATCTGATCGAGCTGAATTCTTATATTGGTATTATATATCTGCTCAACCTCTGTATTGTGTCTTTAATAATATGATTTTTTGGTTTGTTCTTTTACGCCCCACTCGGCGGTCTGTAAAAATTATCAAGTCTGGACCTGACAATCTAGTGATTGATATCATGAGCATCGATCCACGCAATTGGGTTACGATGACATGCATCAACCAAGTCAGCGAGCCTGACCACCCGATTCTGTTAGTCGCCTTTTACGACAAGCATAGTCGCCTTTTACGGCAAGCATGGGTTGTTGAAGACTTATTCTACCCCGAATCTTCACGGGTCGGATACAAAGTAAGATATTTGGGAACAGGATAATTGCCCTCCGGACAATTGCCACTCGGACAAATAAAAATATTACTTCATCATTATGTCTTAATGAAATAAATAATCAAATAAAGATTCCAATAGTGTTGGTTCGACCCGATTATGTTTCTAGGTTTGTCAGCACCATACCCGTGCTCGAGGGTTTCACCGAAGTGTTAAACGTCTGAGACCTGCATGACTTCGGGCTTTCCTCCCGCATAAAGCTGACACGCCGTGATATAACTGGAATACTGTTAAAAGCGGCGTTAAACCCAACTCACTCACTCACTAATATTGTCAACTGAAACAAATACTATATATGTTAATAACATTGATAATCACACAGGCGGTCATCGAAATTACATGAAATCTAATTAGTTTTCAAGAAAGTAGCACCTCACCGGAACTGCATGCCCAAAGGTGTCAATGTTTGCGGTTATTGGATTGCCACATTGCCTACCACATATTGTGGGAATAGTATCAATACAGACAATATACTGGTATGTGCCAGATCACACTGACAATTAGCCCTTGAAAAAGCGACTGATGCCTGATTAAAAAAAAAACCCTTTTTATTTTCTCTAAGTTGTTAAATTTTCATCAACTGTAGTTAGTCATACGTGTTCCATAAGATATAAAAATAAATAGGGAATTGCAAAAGAACTTTGTACTCACCATGTACTTCATAACTGCCGCCAGCAAACTGTTGATGTTGACACAACATCCTCCATCTTGGATATTGCGGTGACAGCACATACTACTAGTTGGACAACTTACTCACACGATCTTCCTCAAAATTTTCATTGCCCCCTCCCCCCACCAAAAAAAAACAACACAAAAAAAACCCCAACAAAAAAACAAAACAACAACAAACAAACAAAAAAACACACAAAAAACCAAACCAAACAAAAACAACAACAAAAACTAAAAACAATACTACAACAACAAACAACCAAAAAAACAACAAAACCAACAACAACAAAAACCAAAACAAAAAACAAAACATTTCCCCACATTTGATTTTCTTTGTTTTTCCCTTGCTTCACTTCACATTTACTTAATCAAATTTGTATAGAAACTTAGTTGTTTTACTTAATGTCCTGGTTTAATTATTTTCATGTCAATTTCTACTGGTCTATTAACGCCTATCAATGTAATCTCTTTCGTCGGAAATTCGAGACTGGTTATTCTCTTTGCATTGGCCTTCAATATCACTCTATTGTCCATTCATGTTCAGCTGAATGCAACCACTTCCGCGTGGAGAATGCCCTGTCGCTGACAGTCGTGAACCAGTCTGTGGACGTTGCCTGTGGAAGCGGGCTCACACACATCCCCTCCTCTCCATTCCACTGTTCCCTTGGCACTGAAGTCCTCAACATTGGAATGTGTGCTCAGACACGTTGGATCAATCTGGTATGTTCGTGAAGAAACGACGCTACATTTTCATCGTGGTCGTCATAAAAATAACAACATGTGCCAGGGCCATGTGATAAACATGCCAATGTGGCTTTATTAATTAAATTTTATATGTTGTATTACTATCATGAGCAATTTGAGTCAAATGAGGCTGTATTATATTCAATGATTCAGAAAAAAATCATTATGGACATATCAGTGAGTGAGTGAGTGAGTATGGTTTTACGCCGCTTTTAGCCACATCCCAGCAGTATCACGGCGGGGGACACCAGAAATGGGCTTCACACATTGTACCCACATCGGGAATCAACCCGGGTCTTCGGCTTGACGAGCGAACGCTTTAACCACTGGGCTACCCGACCGCCCCTTATGGACATATCAAAGGGATAATAAGTATACATTTCAAAATATTTTTCCTTTACTTGATGACAGGTGTCTCCTTGGGTCACCGATCTTCCTGCACCGTTATCCCCTGGGGCGGAGATCAAAGTGAGAGGTGCAGGTGATGGTGCTGGAAAGTAAGTTCTCAAAAATTAACATCCAGTAAACATTGTTCAGTATTATGAATAAATCTTTTACTTGACTATAAACCAAGTATACAAGTAAGAAATGAAACTCATTTCAACAGAATCACAGCCAAATAATATGCAGATAGCCTACATCTTTATCAACGTCCAGACCCGTGAAGATCCGGGGTAGAATAGGTCTTCAGCAACCCATCAAGTCGTAAAAGGCGAATATGCTTGTCGTAAAAGGCGAGTAACGGGATCTGGTGATCAGGCTTGCTGACTTGGTTGATGCAGGTCATCGATCCCAATTGCGTGGATCTTTGCCCATGATATCAATCACTGGATTGTCTGGTCAAGACTCGGATTATTTACTGACCGCCATCATATAGCTGGAATATTGCTGACTTAATGGCCGTGACTGAAGATCAAGGTTATTAAACCGGAAATGTTTTTGTCTCTGTTGGTAAGATAGCTGGAGACATAAGACTTTCTGTTTGAAGGTCGTATCGTATTGGGCATGTGTTTTACCAGTACTTATGTCATTAAACCGGACGTGCATATACGTTTTGTTGATAATTTAGCAAATGGCATCTAGGCATACAGATAGCCTACATCTTTATCAACGTCCAGACCCGTGAAGATTCCGGGGTAGAATAGGTCTTCAGGAACCCATGCTTGCCGTAAGAGTCGATTATGCTTGTAAAATGCGACTAACCCGATCCCGTTAGTCGCCTCTTACGACAAGCATAGTCGCCTTATATGGCAAGCATGGGTTGCTGAAGACCTATTCTCCCCCGGATAGTCACGGGGAAGCTACTGAACACGTTTCAAGTTTGTATTATGTTTTTAAGGAGAAAGCTCAAAGGTCTTTGTGTTTTCCGTTTTGAGTACAGTACTGACGTGCACCTGTGGGAAACTGACGACCTAAACACTGTGTTCCTCCTCTCTATCCGTTGGTCGAACCCTGATGCAATCTTCAACACACAATCCTCCGGGACCTGGGGGACGGAACTTGGGCCATCGACCTTCATATTTTCTCCAAACGTGGTGTTTGATGTCCTCGTGAGAATAACAACAACCAATTTCCTGGTAGGTAAATTGTCCTTGGAAGAGGAGGATGTACTAAATAAATTGAAAATGAAATAATTTTGGTCAATTGGTTTGTTGTTTAACGCCGCACTCAGCAATATTCCAGCTATATGACGGCGGTCTGTAAATAATCGAGCCTGGACCAGACAATCAAGTGATTGACATCATGAGAACCGATCCATGAAATCGGGATACGATGACATGCATCAACCAAGTCAGCGAGCCTGACCACCCGATCCCGTTAGTCGCCTTTTACGACAAGCACGGGTTGCTGAAGACCTATTCTACCCCGGATCTTCACGGGTGTAAGAAGCAATTCGTGCATGGAATCACCATGAAATCCGGAACACATGCTACAGACAGTAATTCAGTGGATGTGTAATCCCAAATCTCCCGCTCACACGGGATGAGTTTCGGAGAGACAGATTAGGACCGTGAGGAAAGTAGTGAATGCATTATTGTATGGCCTGCATGATGAACGGCAAGTATGGGTTGATGAAGACCTATTCTACAAATAAAACAAATGACTATTAGGGTCCTCCAAACAGTCTCTCGTTTTATCGACATCACTACATCTTTGTCTGGTTTCTGATCACAATGAATAACCAAAAAGAAATTAAGCTACCCATTCTTCAGGTTATAGACTGGAAAAAGAGGAAGGATTAACTGTAGATCAACGAAAACTGTTACATGCCCTCCTCAGATCTATTTTATGGTCTATGTTCAGACTGAGGTAACCGTTACTCCTTGCTTAACGGGGCGGTCGGGTAGCCTAGTGGTTAAAGCGTTCGCTCGTAACGCCGTAGACCCGGTTTCCATTCCCGACATAGGTGCAATGTGTGAAGCCCATTTCTGGTGTCCCCCGCCGTGATAATGCTGGAATATTGCTTAAAGCGGCGTAAAACCATACTAACTCGCTCCTCAGGGTGTGACCCAGATAACGTGGATGCCAAGGTCACAGTAAAAGTAATTTGTTTGGCATGTTCCCTCAAATGACTTTTTGCAGATAATGTCCAAGTGGTATATGCATGTAGTGTTTTTTTTTCTGATTTAGAGTGGTCTTGCATTAAGCACGTGTTTTCCTAAACCGAATGTCCATATTATTTTCTTATCTATGTTTTACGAAACCTGAAGTGATGTCATTAAACCGGAAGAGCTTATGACTGTGTTGTTACGCAGGCAAGGGGCGGAGGTCGTTCGGTTTCAAAAGTGAACATCACTTGGCATGAGGAATCTCAAACCGGAAGTGATGACGTTTAAACAGAAGTGCTTAAAACTCATCTATTTATGTATTACGAGACATATGCCTTTCTGTTTTAAAGAGGCCTTGTAATGGACATGTGTTTTCCCAAATCTGCTGCTTCTGTTTTTTACAGGTAATGCAAACACCTTGCTAATCCCAAATAATGATGTTTCGATCGTTGCTATATTCATGCAAATTATACACACAACAGCCGGAACTAATGCGTACGTATAGAATTTAATAAATGCCCATATCAGAGGTTGATGTCGGTCGATCCCAATTGCGTGGATCGATGCTCATGATATTTATTGTCTGGTCCAGGCTCGATTATTTACAGGCCGCCGTCATATAGCTGGAATATTGCTGAGTGCGGCGTAAAATAACAAACGAACGACAAAAAGGTCAGTCAGGACCAGATTAACGTTTAACGAACAAACAATGTCATGTATTTACATTTATATACACATTGAGAGTGAATAATAAATGCAGTACCACGCTTCTCGTCAGATACACTTTCTTTTGAACTTTCGGTCGATCTGTTCATAGAAATCTTCTCGTATCTAACCAAAACGAGTATTATATATACTTAAGTCCATTTGTATCACAGTTGAACATCTAAGTGGATAATGAGTCAATATTTATAACTCATACTCATGTGTTAATTTCAGATATTCATCGATGGCAATAACTTCTACGAAGCCCCAATACGAATTTCTGTCGATAACGCCGTGAGGCTTTACATCAGCTTCAGTCGCCTGGAGTCAGTGGAAATCAAATATCCATGAAACGTTTATTTAAATTTTGTTTTCTTCTTTGTTCTTAATCACTGCACTATTCAAACTGATTGTATAATATGGTGGCCTGTAAATACCCGTGAAGATCCGGGGTAGAATAGGTCTTCAGTTGGTTTGTTGTTTTACGCCGCACTCAGCAATATTCCGGCTATATGACGGCGGTCTGTAAATAATCGAATCTGGACCAGACAATCCAGATATTGATATCATGAGCATCGATCCACGCAATTGGGATCGATGACATGCTTTAACCAAGTCACCGAGTCTGACCACCCAATCCCGTTAGTCGCCTTTTACGACAAGCTTAGTCGCTTTTTACGGCAGGCATGGGTTGCTGAAGACCTATTCTACCCCGGATCTTCACGGGTCACAGAGCATTGAGGCAAGTGTTACAGAGTAATATTGTACTAGTTGTCAATAATGCAATGACGAATACTGATATCGTCTCATTGTACATCTTCCCGAGGCAAGGGAGTTAACTGACTATAAAAGTCCAGAACTAGGCTGGTATTATGGAGTTACATTTTGGCTAGTCCAATCAAAATCGCACACCGGAATCGAAATCCGGTTCATAAACTTACGTGCAGATTTCGGTCGATTGCAGGATTTGCATAGCATATGCACCGCCAACTCGTTGTCAGCAGATATTTCTCAAATCTTTTCATGTTTTTAATCAAGGTGCTCGCGTGATTTGATGCATTTCGCGATGTAAAACCCGTTTTATCACAATATAGATCTTGATTATCGATTAGATCGTCTTGACCGGGCGCCACCATTTTGTGTGAAGCAAACGCAAGTGATACGAGAGGTGGAATCTGATTGGCCCATAGGAGAGGCTTAGAAGAGAGATAACTGGTAATAGCCACTGGTGGCGCTACGATCGAGCCCAGTAATTCCAGCCTAGTTCGGCAAGGGTGGAAACTGGACTTTTATAGTCAGTTAACTCTCTTGCCTCGGGAAGATGTACAATGAGACGATATCAGTATTCGTCATTGCATTATTGACAACTAGTACAATATTACTCTGCTCATTGTATGAAACGTTGCATTGCTAAGTACATAAACTCCACAGTAGACATTAATTGTTGAACTGCTAGGTCCATGTTACCTTATTGTCAGAATGAGCATAATACCTGTCAAGGCTGTCATGATCTGAAGGTTGTGTTCCCTGCTTCAATAGCAGTATTTGCGGAGTACCACTTCTTGTTTGTATTTCACTTTTCATTTGAATGCATAGTCCCGTACAACATCTTGCAAACATATGTCCTCCGGAAATCACAATGGTACATACTTCGCATGGATTTTCTGTTTTTGTATTTCTTTCATTTGAATGCATAGCCCCGTACAACATCTTGCAAACATATGTCCTCCGGAAATCACAATGGTACCTACTTCGCATGGATTTTCTGTTTTTGTATTTCTTTCATTTGAATGCATAGCCCTGTACAACATCTTGCAAACATATGTCCTCCGGAAATCACAATGGTACCTACGTCGCAACGATTTTCTGTTTTTGTATTTCATGTATAAAGTGCTTTTGCTATTGTATTTAACTTTTACAACCATTAGCTACTTTGGTCGTGCTTTCTTGTTCTCACCCAGTCCATATTGGCTATTTAAATATTTAAGATCGTTTATTTTGTTATCACCACAATCAAGTCCCAGTAGGTAGCTTGTTATATTTATGAACCAATAAGAGTAGAATGTAAACTGTAACACTAATCCAACGTTTGTGTATGTTGTATTATATCCTATAAATACTTATTGGTTAGAGTCACAACAAACTGCAGGTCAGTGGTGAAATGGATCTCACCTGTAGCTCACCTGTCTTGCACTAAGCAACATTACACCGGGGTGCCGTGGACTTGCATATTCCCTTTTCACTGTACTCTCCAAGCAAACGTCACTTGGTTTAAACCAACCCTTATGGTGCCATTTACAATGTATGTTCTCACCCAGTTGTCACCGTTTAGATGCTTGGACATTTTTAAAGACAATATTCGAGTTTCGTGATTGGTTGGTTGGTTGTTGTTTAACGCCGCACTCAGCAATATTCCAGCTGTGTGACGAGCGAACGCTTCAACCCCTAGGCTTTTTAGAATAGGTCTTCAGCAACCCATAACTGCTGTAAAAGGTGACTATGCTTGTCGTAAGAGGCGACTAACGGGATCGGGTGGTTAGGCTCGCTGACTTGGTTGGTCAGGTAGCCTGGTGGTTAAAGCGTTCGCTCGTCACGCCGAAGACACGAGCTCGATTCCCGACATGGGTTTAATGTGTGATGCCCATTTGTGGTGTCCCCCGCCGTGATATTGCTGGAATATTGCTAAAAGTGGTTCTAGATAACCTTACTGTTGGCTTCCACTTGTGAGGATAAGTCACTTACGTTATTTTATGAGTGCTTTATTTAACTTCTCTGCTTTCTTTTGTTTGTCCTGGTTAATCATCCGGGTTTAGTGAGTGCAAAGCCAAGCACGTGGATATAAACAGAATATGAAATGAACTTGTGTAGGGTGTAAAGGGCCCATAACATTTGTAAGTATTAACAATATATATAGTGGGTGAGTTAAAATTTATTTCAGCCATATAGCGATGAGACCAAGTTAATATATTTACAATTTAGTTTTTTATGCAAAGTTTTATTTAAAAACAAGTTGAGCATGACAATATTATATATACAGTTTTAAAACACAGGCTTTAGGCCACCAGTAACCAAAGCTAGGCCACCTTGCTCGGGATCATGGGGATTTACAGTAAAAGAAAATATATAAGTAGCAACTTGTAAATCATAACTAGCAATGCTATAACAAATGTAAATGGTGTAAAAGGGTAAATTACATGTTGAAAAGGTTGGAAGTGTGTATCACAGATGTTTCGTTTAAAATCCGGAAAGTAATGTTGGTATGATAATAACATGCACTTGTCACATTAGTTACAAGTTGTAATATTTCACATTTGTTTTTATTA